GACATTTCTGAGAATAACAGAATAGGATTTCACAGGTGTTCTCAAACTATGGCGCATGTACCGCTGGTGGTACTCATGTACCCTGGCTCCAGCAGGAAGGATTATTAATATGTTATATCCATCCATGCAGAGAGCGCAGGGGGCCAAGGGGAACCCGACAAACCCAGAAAAATAGTCTAATTAGCTCATTAAGGAAATGTTATTTTCCGATACCGTGGCTAGCTTAACGGGGTTTTATTATAGTCATAGAGCTGGTCCATGGATAGCCAAGTACTTTTAGAAGTTTATGGTTTTAAAATTCAAGAACTAAGTTTACTGCTGCTGCATTCATGCTAACGATGCTATTTACAGATATCTGACGCGTCTGATTCGCTGCAAACAAGAACAAATAAATGACTGATGTGCAGAGAAACACTGGTATAAAACCAACTCAGAGGACTGTTCGAGTTATTTTACATTTTTTAAACATCTGTCCCGATGCATTTGGAGTTTTTCTCTATGTCTTTTCACAAACCAGGGGCCAATGGGTGGTGGTAAAAATCCATGCCGCCTCGAGCAACATCCATAAAGATTTCAATGGACAATAAAATCTTTATTCTTTCCTCTTAGGCTAAAAAAACAATCCTAACGTGGATATTTATTTATTTATTTATATCTTTTTTACAGTTCTTTGCTTTGAGCAAAATGTATTGTTGCCGTCTCACGTTGTTTATCATACTTAGCCTCTTTGTCACATTAGCATAATGTGAAAAACAATGAGTATACGCGTTTTTTTGTCGTGAAACTTCATTTACCAGAAAACGTTTTTAACACCGTGAAGCCATAAAGACGGAAGTACAGTCCGTCAAATAAACACAAGGTTTTAATGAGTTTCCTTTTTTTTTCATTGAAGGTCAACCTGATGTTGAATGGGAAACCAGTGATCTCTGCCTTTGCAGGCGACAAAGACGTCACCCGCGAGGCGGCCACTAATGGAGTTCTGCTTTATTTGGAAAAGGAGGACAAAGTATACCTCAAGCTGGAGAAGGGAAACCTAGTGGGCGGATGGCAGTACTCTACGTTTTCCGGCTTTCTCGTCTTCCCTCTGTAGATGAGACGAGATGTCGAACGTACTCTGAATCCTTCATAATGTATCGTCACCTTATAATCTAAACGTTGCCCTACAGTCTGTGGATCGTGGAAAAACGGAGGGAAAATAAAAAATCTAAACATCAGATAAAAGACTAAAGGAACTCATTCACGGTCCATGATGAGGACACTTCCTGTCCAGGTGAAGGACACGCGGTGTTTCCTGTTCTCACATTACACTTCTCTCTCCGTGGGATTCACCGAAGAGAACGCTCATGTTCGGCATACATACTGAGCTCCCGCCTGATGACAGTTTCTGGCTCTATACTACATATGATTTGTATATATTGTATTGTACTTGCATCAGTCGTGCAGTGTGGCATCATCGACGGTTTCAAAAAGACGACGTGTGTGTGTGTGTGTGTGTGTGTAGGGTTGTCACAGTGTTGACAGAATCCGCAAACGGCCGTGCAGCCGGTGGCAGAGACGTCCATTTTGGACAAAGTCTGGTCGAACAAATGAGATGACAGTCCAGTGACCATGAGACAGAGAGAGAGACAGAGAGACAGAGAGAGACAGAGAGTGAACATGAAGTAAAGGTTGTGTTTGAGTCATGCTGCAGTATTAGATCAGACCGTGGTATATCAGTATGAGTACGAGCCGCAGTCAATACGTTTTAAGACAAATGGAAAACATATTTATGGAAATACTAAGTAACAACTTCTGTAGTTAAAAGCGTAAACACGTCCTTGATCAGAGAATGTCAGGTCACAGTCACAGCTTCTCTGCCTCATCTTGGGCTGGAAATCAATTTTCCTTTTTCTTTTTTTTTTTTATTCAGAGTTTGGACGATCATTTCAACAGATTTTTTCTTCCAATTTTGATTTGAAATGAGATGTTTGCTCTGATAAAAAAAAAAAACTTCACTTTTGATGTTGAACAAACCCAGTCAAATGAAACACAACACTTAACACAACGAGAAAATAATTTCAGATCGGTGTGAGAACAGAACATTCACTGATTGGTTTTAAAAATCCTGGCAGGACAGATATACAAAGTATAACTGTTTCTGATAGCAGGTCCATGTACAACGTTTCTTTGTACTGTACAACTCAAGTCAGTGGAGTTGGGGCTTGATGGATTCAAACCCAGGACCTACAGCATGACATGAACCCACTGCACACCTGTCAGCCCCGTCCTTCCTCACATAAAAAAAGTAATTAATGAAGATTTGTAAAGTCAAACAAATGCAAAAACATATCAAATATACTGTTTATACAAAATGATGAGAAAATGGGAACAAAACCCAACGACCGCGGAGAAACAAAACTAGCGCCACAATTGCGCAATATGTCGCGAAAAGGGACGACGAGGAAACGAAATACAAAATGACTTCAAAGACACAATAAAAACGACCGCGACGAGAAACAGAATGTCATTTTTAATCTTTGTGTGTGTTTTTGGTCTTCAGGTCTTGTGGGGGCGGGGTTTCCTGTACAAGTGTGTTTATGGACTTGTTGTGTCACAGAACTTATTAAATCATATTTAAATGTAAACGTTGTCTCTTTGGAATTCAGTTTTTCAGCAACATAATTTATTTGGTAATAAAAAAAGTTTCATTTTTGCAGAACTTCCTGTGATCAGTCCAGAGTAAATGAGTTATTACTTCATCATTTCATCACTGCTGTGTACTGCCGCAGATGATCAAAATGAAAATAATAATAAATAAAAAAAATTATTATGCAGAGGTTATAACTAATTTTAAGTATAAGTTCAATGCAAAAAGTGAACGTTTGGTATCTTTTTGTTCCGGTTCATGTGAGCGCTGCAGCAGTCTTAGCCCCAGCCCCAAATGTTTCTAGGCATCGTCTTCACTGTGTTCAACACCCCCAAATTTTTCTAGGCATCGTCTTCAGTGTGTTCAGAGCCAGTGAAAAAAGACATTAAAACAATGGATATAATAAATAAACAATACAATAATAAAATTACAAACTGTATCATAAAATAATCTTGTTTTTTCTTGCAGTTTTAGGAAAAAAATGTTTTTGTCTAAAGGACCTCAGAAGCATTTTCTAGAAAGAACGGCTTCATTTGAGTTGTGGACATCATCAGGCTGAACGACCCTGATGACGGCCTCGTTCAGCTGAAAGTTTCTGCTTTGATGGCTCGCCGCTCCTTTTTAAGTGTTTAAAGTGAACCGTCGCTGCTCTCATCAGCACCAACGGCACAGTGTTAAATGCAGTGGATATTTTTAGTTGATTCTTCGAGGGATTCAGTTCCAAAATGTAATGAAGTCCAAAAAGGAGCTCAAAGAGCAGCGGTTTAATGGCTTTCATTAAAAAAGTGGCCATTAAAGAAAATGCTGGATGTATTTTCTGAATAAACCTGGAATGACGTTTTTTTACGTTTATTTCAGGATTGTTTTAACCACAGTGACTCGCTGTGACCACGTCTGGACCACAGACCACAGGTTTACATTAAAGAAAATGTATCTGGTCATAGAGTGATACTTCAACCAAACAGGAGCATACTGTAAATGCTGACGCTGAAATCTGTCAACGACTTGTTTCCCAAAAACTGGGTCGCAACCCTGAGGTGGGTCGCAAGAGTTTTTTTTTTGGGTCATCTCAGGAGTTTACTGGTCCGCAGAAAAAAAGTTTGGGAGAACACTGAAATGTGTCAGTAACATTTCATTGGCCCATATTAATAATTATGATAGTAGTAAACATTATTCTAATTTTTAATTTTATTGGCACAAGAAAGGCGTCACCTACAGATATTTGAGCAGTAATTTTGACATGTATCCTCTAGAGAGCGCCAAAGCATCTAGAGAAGTGATGAAAATGGGAAATTAAAAAACTGGACAATAAAATAAAAGTCTGAAACCTGATACTGACAAATTATATATATATGTATATATATGTGTATATATATATATATATACATATATATATATATATGTATGTATGTATATATATATAGCAAATAAAGCAAAGGCTGACCCTTTGCTTATGACTCACAGACCACCAAAGGTCCGGGAACCCCTGGTTGAGAACTACTGGAGGGCAGACATTAAGAGTAGAACCAATAAAATACAGTACGTGTGTATATCAGAGCTATTACTACGGCTGCCTGAATATTCCTTCTGTTTGAGAAGCGTGCAGGCGTTTGGATAAGTTTCCTATCACTCTGTGTTTGAAATAAATCTTCCGCCCGACAACCTCATGCTTTATGGATGTTAATAAAGTTTAATGGGCATCTGAGCGGCCTAATTGGTTAACGGGCCGATAATAAACAGACTTCTGTCACACTCGCTGAGCGTAAATGGCCTGAACTGGACAGCCGGCAGCTCATGAATTATTAACTTGCTGAACTGTTTGTCTTGTTGTGAGCGCCTGCGTCTCCAGCGTCTCCAGTGTCTGACGTCTGTCCTCGTCTGTTTCTGCTGCAGTGCTGACAGGGAGGCTCTCTGTCAGTGTGTTTGTCTTAAAAAAAACAATAATCACCTTCACCCTTGACTTCTTGTCATCTGTGTGATTTTCAGTTTTTTGAGTCTAATTGGTTGGAATTCATGTCGTGACCTACGTTTGGTCCGTGTTTGTTGAGTCGTCCTTGGAATATCTGCCATTTTGGAAAGACCAAACGACCTACATTCCTTTGTAATTAGCCACCTTCCTTTTGTTTGTAATTATCACAGCTCAAACCAAAGACACAGAGTTGAAAATGTACTCACTGTAACATCAAAGCAAATATGTAGTAAATCCATCAGAAAATGTTGGTTTTACTTCAGTATTTAATGATACGCATCAGAAACAATGTTTACGAGATAACACGGATCCTGACAGGAAGTCGACCGCATGTCGCTTCAGTTTCCCTGAGTTTCAGACGGAAGGTTATCCCGAGAAGACGATACACTCTGTGATTGTTCAGCTGTGCAGCTGCGAGACAAAAGTGTGCCACAGGAAAAGTAGATTTCTGCTCGGCGAGTCGTCAGGACTGCAGGGTGGCAGGTGTGCCGCCTGGAATTTTAAAGCTAATGCTGACCTTTTTACTGGCATTTCACAGGTGTGATTGAATATATTGTCTCTAAACAGTGTAGCACTTCACACAGCACTTGCTCTGAGATCTGCAGTGCTGTGTGTTCACTTTGATAGCATCCAGAGGGACACATAACCCCTGAACTGAATTATAACTCAGCAGTCCACACGCACACACACACACACACACATACACGAGCCTTTCTTAACATAAAAACAACAGCGATCCTTCCAGGTGTGGGACCCACTTAAAAACACATTTTCTGACGTTGTGAAAACAAATCTTGCGGCTGAACTTCTTCCAGCCTGGAAATCCATCATGTAAATCATTAATCTCCTTTGGTTTAACGAGCACCGAAGTGAATACGGATCAAAGAGTGGGAAAAAAAAGGTTCTTCAGTGTTCTGTATTTAAGAGAGTGAGAAACAGTGAGAGGGCACAGAAAGGTTGGGGTTTTTTTTTAGTTTATCTTTAGCTTCAAATGCTAACTCTTCACTTTTAGACTGGGGCTCTTCAAGGTTTTCACACCAAGGAATCCCAAACTGACCTGTAAGATTGTGTTGATAATAAACTGGACCAACTGCCATACATTTCATAGAAGCACATCATGCTTAAAATACCACCTCCATAGTCTACTGTCTAAAATAAGACCGCCAAACAAATCGGTCCCCTAGGGGCCCAGTATGGCGCTCTTAATGAAAAATGCTAATATTTACGGCTCGTGGGCCAATATTGGTCCCCTAGGGGCCCAGTACGGCGCTCTTAATGAAAAATGCTAATATTCCTGGACTTTTTCTGCATGAAAACAAGGGCAAAAATATGGACGTATTTTTATTTATTTCAGGTATTTATGTGATAACTGTCATGGTCAGGCTGTATGTGGACCCTGAACCAAAACAAGTTTGACACCCTGGGTCTAAAAACTGGACTGTTTCTACTGACCCACCCCACCCTACCCTCACACCCCCTTAAAAATAAACTCGATTGGCTTCTGCAGCAGCCACAGAGCTAATCCTCATTCACGCAATGGCGTCGACTAATTTACTGCTTTACAGATTCAAAGTTGCAGAAAATCAAAAGCCTGCATCTCTAAAAAGAGCGTCTGACAGGAAACTTGAACAAGGTCTTTTTTATTTATTTTTTGTGCACAGCCCATAAATCTGTGGATTTGAAGCAGCTTAAACGCAGCCACGGTCTCCACAGCTCTGAGTTCAAACTGGTAGATTCTTTATAACAAGTCGTTTCCGTTGATGTCATGAAAATGTGAAGCCTGGCCTGGTGTGAAATCTGACATCGACTGTTGATTATTACCTTGCCTGCATTACCCCACCTCCCCACAAGAGGGCAGACTCCTGTCAATTAATATATATGCTTGAAAAATTTGTATTTTTAATTTGTATGGTCCTGTCTGACACAATTATTTTTATATATTTAAGGACAGTTAAAAGTCCATATATTTATTAATATTAGCCAAATGTTAGCTAACAAGATGGAGGACATTTTTGCCTCAATAACTACAAAGCCATGAAAAAGCTAAAAGTCAATCCAGAAATACCTAAGAAATCCGGTAAAACAACTAAAAATTAACCCAGAAACTTAGCCAGAAAATAACCTAAAATAGCATGGAGTTAGCGAAAACAATAGCAATAGCAACGCTAGAATAGGGAAAGTGACCTTAACACTAACTCAGGTTAGACAAAAAAAATAATTCTGTGCTTAAAAATGACAAAAGTAAAAAAAATCTAAGCAGAAGATTTTCTGCCTTCGGAGCAAATTTTACTGTCATTTCTGTCAAGAACCACAGAAGCGCGAGAGCCAAAACAGAGGTTTTACGACACGGTGTCAGGGAGAGTTTCTGGTCCAGTGCATGTGATGGATGATATCAGCGGCTCGATTCGTTTCCCTTCACACACACTTCGTTTACCCAACTCTTTTCAAGAGAGACAAAAATTCGAGGGTTAGTTTGAAATTATTTGAGTGGATCTGGACGAAGAACTTAGGTGTAAATGAGCGGCAGCTCCTTTTCTCTTTGGTTGGTACTGGTTTCTGTACTGAAATGGTGAAACGGTTTCGTGAATGTGCTGCTTGTTAGTATAGAACCGTTTAGCTGTAGCTGTTTAGGTTCCATTAATTTCCATCCTGACCATCGACAGTGTTAAAAAAAAAAACTAGTTTATGATTTAATTTTTGTTCTATTTTGTCCTTGCTTGCATTTGAGTTTGTGAAAAACTACGTTACATAAAGAAAAGAGCATCGCAATGATGTTAAATTGGGCAGGATGAAGATGAAGATGGTGAAGAAAGGCCTTTGTCTTCTCATCTTCATCTTCAGACTGTAAAGCATGGCAGAGCTACTTACTGGCAGCTCAGTGATTCAAATCAAAGGTGCATTAGTGGTTTTGATGCATTATAAGCGACTATAAGGTGACTCATAAAAAATATCTGCTGGAAAAAGCAAAACATCACACAGTAATGAATAGAGAAGCTAGTAACAAAAAATCGACCAATCAGATGATGGCCTTTAAAAGTTGACATTCGTATTTTAGGACTATGACACACAGTCGCTGCCTCAAACTCAAGCTGATGGATAAAAAAATAAAATAATTACTTGTACACAGCACTGACAATGACTGACCAATGAGCAGATAGTACAACTGCTGCTCATCTAAACAACCTAATGACTCAGATTCTTACATTTTTGTGGGCCATTATCAACACATATGATATTTTCATTCGACTCGCATGCGGTGCAGAGCAGTGTTTCCCAAACCTTTTTTCTGGGGACCCATAT